GAGAATTTAAAACTTGAGTTCAGCCTAAAACTTACATCAATGTGATAACACTGGAAGGAGTTTTGAGTAGGATATTCTGAACCTTTGCCTATTTTGAGGTTTGGTATTCCTTTTGGGTGAAGTCTATTTGATAACTTGCTTTTCCCTTATTATAAGAAAGGGGTGCTGTGTAGAGAAGTGTGGATGGTTTCAGCTGATGCTAGAAGTTTTTGTCCCAAACGTTAATTTTTATCTTTTTAAGTACTGCTATTTTTTGTTATTATTTTTAGCATCTTTTTCCTATTAGTCAAACCAAACGGCAGCCAGCCTGCAAAAAAATAATAATAAAAAACTTTTAGTTCATACTGTAAATTATAACCAGAGGATAGAGAGTATGTGAGAAACCTGGATTAAGTGAAGTTGTTGTCTACCCTGCTCGTTTGAATCGCTGTTGAGGCCATTAATCATGCAGTTGAAACTTACCGTAACTCTCTCTCTCTCTCTTTTTCTTTTTTTTTTCCCCAGAACTTTTCCAGGCAGTTCAAGGAAATGGCAGCAGTTCTTGAAACAGTTTGAATCAAACTCTTTTAATTTCCCCCAAAGTTTCTGATGGACTTGGATTGGGTCAACTTTGTTCTAAGCAGCAAATGCAGTGCCATTGCTCAAGCCAGGTGTGTATACTTGCCTTCCTGAAGAGTATTGGTCAACATCCTCCTTCAATCACCCTAAAGACCTCTTGGCTTTTGAACCCTGGAGACCAATTCTGTGGTATCTGTGAAGTGTGTTCAGCTTCATCCATCTGGACAGACAAAAGGTCAGGATGTGGAAGGAGATGTGCCACTGCAGACCTTTTGTATTATCCAAGAGCAAGAAACTACACATAATATTACCCAGTCAAATTAATACTTCCACATATCTTTCTGCACTGAAGAGTTGAGAGAAGTGTAAATCTTGTGTTAACTCTTTTATGTGTGAAATTGAGATGAAATTGAGATAAAATTGAGATGATATGGATGAAACAATATTAACAATGAAGAGTACATAAAATTACACATAGCAAGCATACAGTTAGTCTTCAAGAACAGCAGCATCAGGTAGTTGCTTGCAGATATCTGCAGACCTGTCTTCCAGTCTCTGTTTAATTGCTAGAGAATGTACTTTATCTAACAGCTTATTTCACATACTTATTTTCCACTGCCTAAGCTTATGAAAGCTGAGTTAGTGAAGTAAAATGTTCTGGAGATTCAAAACTTAATCTCTGAAATGAAGCCTGCAGGCAAATTTGAAATGTAGGACAAAAGGTTAATTTAATTCAGAAGCATTTTACTATGTTTTGCCCTTGCAGTTAATCCAGCTCTAATCTGTGGTGTGCTGCTTGATGTTTTGCTCAGCAATTTGCTTTCTAATTAAATTAGGATATTGATGTAGTTGTCTCACTTCATCCCCTGAACCAAAATTCTTGAGAGAAAAAAGCAGCCTTGAGAATTCGAGGCTAGTGTTAGCCAAGCACACCAGAGAGATGATCACACTAGAAGACAGTAAAATTTTGGGGTAGGGAGAGGCTTGTTATATTTTGTGACAGGAGCCCATAGGACTATGTTGCCCCTTGGGCTAATGTCCTGTCCACTAAAATCTTGATTTTTGATTCTGAGAATGGAGGCATTTTCAAAGTGCGAGTGATAAGAACACTGAATTTTATGTACTCTTCTTTTTTTCTTCTCAAGTTTTGCACAAACAAAAGGCAAACTACACAGTTGACTTCAATAAACAATACTGTTGCATTTCAAGATAGGCTGATGGTCTAATAAGTCTGAAGATGGACAGTTTAATACAGTTAAGCAAGCTGAAATTTGTGTTGCAACTTTGGCAACATAGTGAATGAAAATAGATTTTGTTGGAACAGATCCTTGGGTGATTTCAAGCTCTGTATGAGGGAACATCTGCCTTTCTAAGCCACGTAAGTCTCTTGCTTTTGTGCTTCGAAGAGAGAGATACCACCTCCACTCTTGGGAGTGTTACTACTGTTTGTTCCATACAATGAGCCAGTGCTTGGAATTGGTCTGTGCAAGTTGTAATGTAACTCTAACTGGGAAAACACTGTCATGCTTTGGCATTGTGAGTTAACTGGTTCAGGTCAGTGCAGGAGTTCTGGGGAAATTATTTCTGTTGACAAGAGTGAAGCTGGAGTCTTACAAATACTTCAGTTTGTTCTAATGCTCTGAAGTTCTTTTTATGGCTGGAAATAGTTGTGCCTTCAATGGAACTGCGTGGAGAAGGTTTAATCAACAAAGTCTTAACTTTAAGAAAGAGTAATTTTGAAGATTGGGAAGGTAATGAGAACTTGTTATTGTTTCTGCTTGGTCCATCACCAAGAACAGAAAGTTGGCAGCATCTGAAAAGCGTTCCTGTTACTTTTGTCAAGTTACATATGTCAGAAATACTAATGAATATTCTTGAAGCGTCCCCACGTTCCAGCATGTTGGAACTGGCTGGAAGGGGGCTGGGGGCGTTTGGTCTCCTAGCACAACCCTGTGGAAATTCTGAGAGATCCTCATGGGAATCCAAGAGATGTGATTAGGAGTTGGCTATGGAGCCAAACTGATGGGATTTGCCCTGATCCCTATCAATATATCTCCATTTACTAAACAAGGCAAGAATTAAGCAGTATAGAAATAAGTAAAAGCCTGGCAGCTTGCAAGATGGCAATATTAACTTGTTCAAACAAGTTGTTGAATCATGCTCATCTATTTGTGCAGGATCCAGAACTTTTTAAAGCAAATCAGAAGTCCTGGTTTGCTCTACTTGTTGATACAAAATTGTATAACATGAATATTTTTGTAAGTCCACAAACAATCATTAAACACAAAGGTGACACAAAGGTAGAGATGGTCTGTATTTTATTTCAAGTCTGCTGCATAAAACAGTTGCAAACACTATAATGGGTAAGGTTTAAAGCTAGTTTATGATGAAACTTCTTTATTAAGATCAGAATGAAGTTCACACAGTCTCCTCCTGGGGTGGGGTACCAAAAAGCTGAGGGGTAGCCGCAGGCTTCAAAGAATATTTACATGGATCAGTAACAGCTGAACAAAACACTATTAAGCCTGAAAAATAAGTGTGCAATAAATGAACATTTTCAAGAAATTACATGCAAGTGTCTTCACTTTCTGAACCTCCTATTTGGAAGAAAGCTACATCCAGTTTTTCTTTTCAACAATTGCCTTGATGTAGACAAGACAAAGCTGAAAGAGGAAGAAATCTTGGCAGCAGCTACATTTCTCCTTCACCACCTGATGTTTTTTATTAGTTCAAAACATACTAGTTCTTTACAGAATGCCTTTTTTTTTGTGTGTGTGTGTGTGTGTGTGTGTTGGGGGGGGGGACTGACAGAAATGGTAATCTCATCTGCACACTAGTTTTAGCTTCTGCTCATTTGCTTTGATGCAGTTACTGCCCCAGTAGAAAGCCGGTGTGTGCTGGCCTTTGCCATTCCTGCAAAGCTGTGTTGCTTTTCTTCAACTGTGTTTCAAACCTGGGTGACCTGTTTAGTGTGAGCCTGTATTCCTCCCCTTTTAAATTTTTTTAACCTTTCTATTTTCAAGATTTGCTACATTGTTTAAAGAGCTGCTAGCTAGGGCTAATTCAGTGGAGAGAAAAAAAAGGGGGGGGGGAAGTAGTCATCAAAGGTAATTTTTTCCCCTGTTCCCTTTCTGCTTGCTTTCTTTCCTGCAGTCTTTGGATATTATCCTATTACTGTAGCTATAACGAGAGAGTCATGCAGGATTATTCTGTTAGCAGTTGCTGACACTAGAATAACATGCAAAGCTGACAAAGTCACTCCATCTCCTGCAGCAAGAGTGCCCCATCCTTTAACAAACTTCACAAGCGGGAGGAGGACTTAAAACTCTGTGGTGCCCATCCTACCTAGTACCTGTTGGTTATTTGCCCTCTGTTTTTTCCCTCCTCCTTTTCCCTTCCTCAGAGCCAGACTGATTCCTGCATTAATCCCCTGCTACAAGGGCCAATGCCTTGTGTGTGGGCAGCCAGCCAGCTGTGTGTTCCCTCCGTTCCGGAGCAGGAGCTGAGCAGAGGGGCCGGGCCAGGAGAGCCCGGAGCGGCTCCGCACGCTCCTCACTCCCCCTTCCAGGGCTGGGCTCCCTCCCAAGTCCTGCTTTTAGTGCTGGACATGCATGTCTGCCTGCCGCAGGAGGGTGACTCGGGCACCGTACCCAGCTGGGGGTGCTCTGAATGGCTTTGAGCGTTGTTTTAACCCTCTTCCTGCACCAAGGTGAAGAAACGCGCTGCCCTTCGACCTGAGCGGCTGGGATCTGCCTCATAATGGTCTGTGTCTTCGTGTCCTCTTGAGGCAGTAACAAAGCGGAATTTGGAAATGAAATATGTGCCCAGTTGGATATTATCTGTCAGTTCCCTGAGGCTGTGGATATTTGCTTTTATGTTTCCTCTTCCCTTTCCTCTATTTTCCTCTACCTGCCTTGTCGGTGAGAACCGTTTCTGTTCAGCATGTGCATGTGCTACAGTTCCCTAGTAATCTGCTAGCATTTACATTGCAAAATATCATAAAATTATAGAATCATGGTGCTTGGAAAAAAACCTTCAAGATCATTGAGTCCAACTGTAAACCCCTTAAGGCCCTGCCTGCTAAGCCATGTCCCTAAGTGCCTCATCTACACATTTCTTGAACACTGAGGGATAGGGAACCCACTAAAAAAAAACAGCCTTTTCCAAGGCTTCACCTCTCTTTCCATGGATAAATTCTTCCTAACATCTAACCTGGTGCAACTTGAGGCCGTTTCCTCTTGTTCCATCTGCATTTATTCTGGAAAAGAGATCGGCCCTTGCCTCACTATAGCTTCTTTTCAGGTGGTTGTAGAGAGCGACAAGGTCTCCCCCGAGCCTCCTCCAGCTAAATAACCCCAGCTCCCTCAGGCGCTCCTCGTAAGGCCTGTGCTGCAGCCCCTTCACCAGCTTCGTTGTCCTTTTGCAATTTCAGTATTTGTCTTTTTTGTACTTCGCATACTTACCTTTGGAACAGGAAGCTGTAATATTCGTATATATGTACTACAAAGGAAAAAAAAAAAAAAAAAGGAAAAATCTTAGGGCCCCATAGCCCTTCTTGGGGCTTAATAAATTTCCCCGTGGATGCCATTTCATGCTGTTGTGGAAGTGGCCACCGGGTGGCACTGCTACCTCGGGTCTTGCTCCACAGAAAGGCTTTAGAGCGTGTCTGACACTAGGGCAGCCCTCTCGGTCTCTTTGGGTAACTTGCACCTCTAACTACGCGTTCACGCTACTGTCACTTCGATGCCACTTCTTATATGGTGTGAAAATAACTTTTGCGCTAGTTCCTCAAATGATGCACATCAAAATTTCCAGCTACGTTAAAATTCAGCATGTTAATGATGATAATGTATACCGTATCTTACAACTGTGCAGTAACTTAAAACAGTTATATAATTATAGCAGCATTTGCACGTTATGGCTGGCTCTTTAAATAGTACCATGTTACATTTTTATTGGGGCCTATTCTAGTTTTACATCGTTCTGGATATGTCCACATCTGAAATAGATC